AGACATCAGAATGTACTGCCTAAACACACACACACTCCCATTCCTGGATGTTCTAATATCTTGAACAGAGCAATGTTTCAAGACATCCGTATACCGTAAACCGACATTCACCGGTCTGTACCTTAATTTCATCTCCCACTATCCATACAGCATAAAGAAAGGGATCGTCCGCTGCTTACAACACCGAGCAAAAGTCATGAGTGGCGACCCAGAGATATTAGATAAAAAATTGTTCAGTATTAGTACCCTACAACGTAACAACTATACTGGGTACATGGCAGCGACCCCAAAAAACTGGGATAGACGGGTACAAGAGGAGGACAACAACAGTTTTTCTGCCTTACGTGAAGGGGTTATCAGAGAAAATACATAGGATCTGTGGTCCATATAACGTCAGGACAACCTTCAAAAGCTTGACGATACTTCGCAGATATCTCTCCCGAGTAAGACCCCCATAGAGGAGAACATGACTAAAGACTGTGTGTACGCTATTTCGTGCAGTTGCGGGAGGAAATATAAAAGAGAGACTCAAGGTAAGGTTTCAAGAACCCCAGAAAGCTGTAACACGAGAGAAAGTGGAAAAATCAGGCGTGGCTGACCACATATGGAGAGAGAAGGGAGATCCCCGCCCTCTGTGGGATCAGGCTGAGATCATAGACAAGGAACACCATTGGAAAATTCGTAAACATAAGGAATCAGCACATATTCTAGGCCACAAAAATCTCCTGAGCCGACCAAGTATAGAAATGAATACAATATAGGAACCAGTAATTAAGATTGCCAGAGAAAAGCGATAATCACAACAAAAGTTGCAATATGAGCTCTGGTAAAAAATGCAGTGATAACAGCAAAACATTGCAATATGAGCACTGGTCAAAATGGTTGCTCAAGACATTAGGTTTATAATACCCAGAAATTCATACACAGATGTCCTCAAGGACACCTGGCACAGTGGATAAAGGCGTTGGTTAGATCCAGTGACAGGATACATGGCAGTTCAATTGACGGTTAAGAACTTTCAAGAGGAAAATTAACAGGAAATGACTGATAACTGACAGCCATTAAACATGGCACGTGGAACAGTCTACCCCAGTTAGCGAAATAAAGGGTTAAGTTAGACATTGCAACTACCTGAAGAAGCCGGAGCGTACAACGGCCGAAACGTCGTAATAAATATGGCGACAAAGATGCGGACTATAGTCCGAATAATTTAAATAATGTACATAATAACTCATCTCAGAAATATAGACAGATACTGAAAGGCCAAAACGTTGTAACAAATATGGCGACAAAGATGAGGTCAATAGTCCGAATAATGTAAATAATGTACATAATAACTCATCTCAGAAATATAGACACATACTGAAAGGCAAAAAAGTTTTAACAAATATGGCGACAAAGATGAGGACAATAGTCCGAATAATGTAAATAATGTACATAATAACTCATCTCAGAAATATAGACAGATAAGTTATCTTCTCCAAAAATTACAGAAAAAAAACAACGTACATATTTCCTTCAAACGTTTATCAGTTTACTTCCAGTGTGAAACGTATTTTCAAATTTTGGTTAATATAAGCAGACATTACTGTTCTTTACAAATTGAAGATACTAAAATCAAGCATCTAAATATTTGGTATGTGTTTTAATATTGCAGAAGATGTACAAAAATAGAAAGTGTATAAGGCCAGGATATGTCTTCTCACGTGATTTATTCAACCTACGCATTTTTGAGCAATTTAGAAGTCCTCCCAGGATTCAATATTGGCGGCCACAATCTTAACAATATACGATATTGTTGTGGTAGGATCCACCTAATTTGCATAGTGGAGTACCGACCATATAAATATGTTTGGTACCGGGAAGAGAAGGGGGGAATCAAGAGATCCAATCAAGAGACTCTGCCCGACTGCATCTAAGTCAACACATTCTCCAGGAACGGTCTTCCCAGGAATATACAAAAGACTATATGTAAATATTGTGTACACTTTGTTGTTTCAATACATTTTGTTCTAAGTACATTTTGTTCTAAGTACATTTTGTGTTGCATTATTATTCTATGCATTAGTCAAGTTTCAACAGATATGCAGATGACACACTGATGATAGCAGACACGGAAAGAAAACTACAAAACCTCCTACAGAAGGTGGGAAAGGAAAGCGTGAAGAAAGGACTAAACATAAACTACAAGAAGACATGGCCATCAGCAAAAGGATGAGTCCAAATTACAGGTCAGGGATACTAAAACAAAGTAGGTTCAAGATTTTAAATATTTTGAAAGTGTTAACAGAAGACATAAGTGAGACACCTATCCGATAACCTACTGGGATAGCCAAAGGTACATTCCCAAACCTAAGAAGAGTATTAGGAGACAGACAATGTTTCTTGGAAAGAAAAGAGTACTGAAATGTTACGTGATATATGTCCTAATGTATGGCAGCGAATGCCGGGCAATCTCCTCAAAGATGAAGAAGAGATTTGAAGCAACAGAAATATGCTCATACAGAAAGATGCTCAAGGTACCATATGGCGAATATGTAGGTAACGCCGAGGTTTTGGAAAAAACAAAAGAGTAAACTGATACTTAACATCAGGAAGAGGCAGATGAAATCGCTTGGACACATAATGAGGAAAGAGAGCTTGGAAAATATGATACTCGCAGGTATAAAGAACGCGGGACAGAGGAAGGAAGCGTATAGTATACTTCATAGTCTTCAGCAAATGGATGGCAGGACAGGTTTTGAGGGGAATAACAAATAAACAAAACATTAAGATCTATAAGCAATATGAAGATGTAGAGGGCCATGATTGCCTTCATCCTGAAGAGACACGGAAACATAAAAAACGAAGTTTTAACAATGAATGGAAAATACAATATCGGAATCCGAAGCCGTTTTGTAATAGCGCAAGATCCTTCTAAAAGATAAGCGAATTATTAAGAAATAAGATAATTTAATTATAATTTAAATATTTCGAAATTATTTTTTACAGGGGATTGAAAAACGAAATCTGAAGTCGCATTGTAATAGAATATATGCTTTCCAATATATAAGCAAGCTATTATGAAAAAAGAAAATTTAATTAGAACCAAAAGATTTTCTGAATTCTGAATATAATTTGTAATATAGGTCCTTCTCTGTCCGCGGCAAATGTTGGCTAGTCTCATCACTGAAGAAGAAGAGACTTCGCCAACAGAAATGTGGTTCTTTACAGGTGTGACGTCGTCCCCCTGGTCGCAGCGTCGACTGTGTCGTTCGATCCCGTTCGCGGCGCCAGCTGTTCGCTCCTCGCTGCTCCAAGTGTGACGTTCTAACCCTTTGGTTAGATGAATACCAGCCTCGTCGTTCCCAACCCGCTTCCAACGCTTGGTTACCAGAGTAACTGCACTGATCTCCATTCTGCCTACCCACGTTGTGATTAGATCTTAGACAGACGGGGTCAAACAGGGATTGGGCCGTATGCAAGCTGAGTCCAACGGGGGTGATAACACACAAGAAAAAATAAAAACTCACAAGGTCAAAAATGTTGAAGAAAAAGGTAACAACTGTTTATATCTAACTGCTTGGTACACAATATTATTCCTACCTCCCGACCCGTTCTGTGGACCGTGCCACCAAGCTTCTACCATACAACTTTAAGGCTTCGAGTTGCTTGCTCTCTAGAAATTTGCATTTCGGGGTGTGGTTTGGTTTCAACACTGGGCGCTGATCTCTACCTGTCGTTCACGGCTGATCTCTCTCGCCGTCCGTGGCTGCAACTAACTCTTCTCTTCAGAGTCTGAATTATTGTTCACTCATCTCCGCCGTCAGTGCGCGAATTAACTTCTTCTCTTCAGCTTCGGTTGGACGAGCTTATTCACTTCGGCTTGGGTTGGACGAATTTCTTCACTTCGGCTTGGTTTGATTCCAACTTCTCCACTTAGGCCAAACGGGCTGCTTCACTTCGGCTTCTCTTGCCCGCAAGGGAATGAACCGGGCCCGCCGCCCGCGCTCAAACTCCCTCGCCGTCCGCGCTGCAACTCTCTCGCCGTCCGCGCTTCTTTCTTTCTTTCTTTTCTTCCTTTTCTTTCTTTCTCCCAGATCGCTTGAATGTAAAGAAAGAATTATTCCTAACCCCGAAATATTTTTCAGCCTCAAATAATTATCAAATGGTGGACAAACCGTAAAAAACAAATCATATATTTATGAATATTTCTTTTCAGCTTTCTACTTATGCATGGTGCCACTCAGGGATGCTGAGAACACGATAATGAAAATGATGAAGAAGTTTTAAGGAATGTGGAATCGACAAATGTACTTAGACTCAGAAAAATCATAATAGACAGTTGAAATTTCTAATACATATGAGGAAAGAAGACTTGCAAAAGTTGATACGTACAATATATATTGAAGGTAATCGGTACAGAGGTAAAACGCAATTATACTGCCTAACAAACTTGTATAAATGGATTCCGGAGAAAAGGACTGGGTTGCATGTGCTTTCTCTTTGGTGTTTCGCTTTTAAGAATTTCAGCGAGGCACTAAATTCGCAGATACGTCTAATCAATTTTACGATCGAAATGGCTACAGGTAATCGTACGTTTTTTACTAGAAATTTATTCTCTCGCACTTCTCGCTTGTGGAAGTCTTTTCTGGCTTTTTGCTTTCTAGCCACATTTCACCGTTAAAATTGTAAATGCAATATGCATTATTATCTTTTGTCTGTTTCATTCCTGTTCTTTTAATGTTCTCTTTCCTTAATTCTTTTTTCTTATGTTCTTTCACACTGAGTAACCCTTCGTGTCGAAGTCGCTTTATTTCCTTGCTTGGGGTGAAACGATTAAAAATAAAAGGCATGGTGCAAAGGCAAGCCTCACAAAGATATGCAAAGAAGAGCAAGTTGAGGAGAACCAACGTTCTGAAGATACAGAAGAAGAAGAAGAAGAAGAAGAATGAGGGGTAGGAGGAGGAGAAGAAGAATGAGGGGAATAATAAGGAGAAGAAGAAGAAGGTGAATGAGGA